TTCATAAAAGTGAAAATCATACCGGGTTTAGCTTCGGGTTGTATGCCTGGCTATGGATATGAACGAACGAAACTACGAGAGTATTTGGGCATTGAATGGGTTGAACATGGTTTGGACGAAAGCGGTACGTTCATGCGTTATAGTGCACGAATCTGTTCTTGACATCAATTCCATATCAGCTTATGACCTCATTTGTCTGTTTGATATTTGGGAATATCAAATTTCTCATCAAGTATTGCTTAGAAGTGATCAACAGGAGTTCATTTGAATTCCAAAAAAAATCCAAAAATTTAGACATTCTTTGAAAGAATGTCTAAATATCCAACTAAATGAACGAAAAATTATGTATAGCAGCAGATTAAACACCATAATAAGCTTAATTTGAAAAGCTGAATGGCTCATAATTGGAGATAGATTGTCTACAGAGGCTCTTTTTTAAGCCCAAGATGATCTGAAGCCGATTCGTCATGCGAGTGATTTGGATTGTCGCTTCGATAAGCCTTCTGAGTGCCGGTGGCGAAATGTGAAGAAAAGCGAGAATATGGACACTCTCGACTTTCATCTCTTCCAGAAGACCGACTTCCTTGAGTTTCCATCTTTACAATTGCGGCCAGGACCGACGAAATTGCGAGAAGGTAAATGGCTGAATTGACGATTTCCATTTCAGCAAACCACGGGGTTTTGTGTTGGATAGTATCGTTTGCGTTTTGTCAATGATTTGGTTTTTTCAAGGTGACAGATTGATTTTCACGGGTGATCGGAAACGTGAAGAGCAGTCAGCGATATTGAGAAGTTCACCGATTGCATGTCAAAATACTACTGGTCATTTGCAGTTCGAGTTCGTTCATTATCTGTTTTTAATCGGTGTTTTCATTTGTATGACTGAAATTATCATTATGATAATCACTCGTTTTGTTATCATTGCTATTGTCATCGTTATGATTATATTTCTTGTCATTATTATCGGTTTCTTGTCATTATATTTCTTGTCATTAACTCCTTATTCGACAACGGTACACCCAGTACTCATCCAATTTCTGATGCTTCTACTGATGAAAAGATGAGATAGTGTAACTGCATACTGCCATTAGAATGCTCACCTTAGTTATGACCATCGTGATCAACACAGTCGTTTGTATTTGTATGGGTGCCGTCAATCATAATGACGCAAATGAACATCCTTCAAAATCCATTATGAAACCCTCTTGAGATGCGAAATTTAATATTTTCACAAGTTCACTTCAAAACTCTGAACTCGTCAACTTTATTCTATTCATCNNNATCGCACATACGCTGAACAGTATCGGTCCACTTCGCTCTATAAAAATCCAGATCTGAGCTGTCGACCGCTCTGTTTTGCGATCTTGAATATTTACTTGTGTGAAATGATGTCTGTCTCATTTATGGAGCATTGGATCATTGAGAATTTTAGCTTTTGGCTTTACAATGGTGCTCGTGTTGAGATCTTATTATTTGAAGTACGCAACGGTAAACTGAAACTTTTACCCGAACGGCCGTTCATCGACTGCGGAACAGTACCGGTGAATACAGAGTGCACTGCAGATATACCGCCTCGTGAAACACCGTTCAGGTTTGTGCTATACGCTTTCATTAGCCATATCGTCAATATATATTGCCACGCTTCTTTCATTCTCTAATTATTGGGCACCTCATATCACAACAACAGTCAATCGATCACATTCACTGCAACTCAGAAGAATTTTAATTGCTGTCCACGGAATATTATGCAAGTTTACTGATAGTCCTCAAAGGAATACTAAGGAAATCAAAGCGAAGGAGAGCAATGAATGTTTCCTTATCAAACACGAAGTATAGTCAGTCAGTTGCCTTCTTTTGAGTTTCTTTACACTTCAGTTTAATACCAACGAATTCAAAAAGCTAATTAGATGAGAGCAGTTGAAAATGTGATGAGTAGCGTACACAAAATGTTCACATTTGAGCGAAAACTGAAGAAACACTGCGCTAACTGAACCCAATTTGTAGTGCTTTCTTAAGCAGTCAATCGTAAAACCACTTAGAATTGCTGAAAAATCAAATA